TGGACTACATCTCAAGACACAATTAGCCAATGAAGCATTTTTTCTTGCTAGACACATTGCGAAATTTTGGGGCCGCTTTTGATATCTAGCTCACTCTCATTTTTCATCGCTAATCTGGATTTTTCTGAGTCTCTAACTGCTCTGTTCCTTTTTCCTGAAATTCTTTCCGCTCGACTGGTTTACCCTTCAAAAACTTATGGCAGGTTCAGACTGAATCAACACGTCTTATTGACTTGCATTGACACAGGTGCAAAATTCATTTCTCCGCGTCAGAAATTTCTCAATCTGCACATCTTCATAGCCAATAATGCTTATATGATGCCTTAACAGATGGAGACCCAATATTATCGAAATGTAAACCGATTGGTGAGATCACATCAAAAAAGACACCATGTATTTTCTAGCACAGTATTACCGAAGTTACCACGTAAAAATCCCAGTTGGGAGGTTACAAGTAGTCCCATTAAAATCCGGCCTGTTCTAGACCAGAAAGTTACGGCACGGTATATTATCAAGCAACTTCGGAATACCGAATAACTTCAATAATTTATCGTACAGGGCCCTTCACCACCGTATCTCAAGCACCCAAAGCAAAGCTCCACCCCTTCAAGGACTTTCCCGAAAAGCCTCCACCCTGCTTTTTAAAAATAAAAATTAAATCTTTCTAAGCAAACAGTAATTTTTCTGAGTGTGGAAGAATCACCGACTTAAGCCGCAACCACAATGCATACAATTATAATTTAAATTACAAGAAATTTATCTTTAAACACCTAAAAAAGCTCCGCCCTAACAGAACTAGGCTCTGATACCGAACTTGTTGGAAATCGCCTATCGTTTCCCGCCCTTCGGAATCGGCTTCAAAAGCAGGGAACAAATGAAGAAAATTACGGAAATAATGACTAAGAAATTAAGAAGAACACGATAGTTTTGTCACGTGAAACTCCCCAAGTGGAGAACCACGGACGTGTGCACACACGTTGCCAAACGACAACCAAGAAAAATATTCACTATGCGGCAAATTGTTATAACCACAATTACAAAATATTTTTCTACCCGACATCCTCAAAACACCCCAAATAATTTATACTCCAAGAGACTCCAAGAGATTTGCTCTAAATCCTTAATATAAAACACATTTAAGTGTTTTGGTGTGTTTAGAAAGCTAAACATTAGCTTTTTTTTTATAGACAATTCACCACCCTCCATTAGCTCATCTCCACGATGTGAGATTGAGCTAAACTATTTCTTTTATTTATTTATTTGTTTTCAACAAAGGCGGCTAACATATATTACACACAATTTTCCTATCAACTTTTTCTTTCCCGGAAAATTTTCTGGATAGGATTCATGCCAAACAGAAAATTTTCTGGATAGGATTCATGCCAAACAAAAAGATAAGAAATTGATTTCCCTCTTTTCAAAATTCATTGCGAAAATAAGAAGAGGCCGACATTATGTAACCTGAATGAGTATTTTTAAGTATCTAATAGAAGAAACAACAAAATAATAGAAATTAAGAAGAAAATAAAGGCAAATAAAAAGGAAAATTACATTGAAGTATCATCTGGAGAGGTACATGAAGAAGATGAGAGTGAAGTCAGTCGGTAGGAAAAAAAATCTGACGCGGAAGGGGAAGAAGTTTCAAGAGAAAATAAGGGCATATTAGGAATAACATTAAAATGAAATTGTTAAAGGGGCATAACCCTGTTCTATGAACAGTGAAATTGGGTTTCATTTTACCATATATATAATTTTACTTGGCTAAATGACAGAAAATGAAAATCGTCAACTTTTAATAAATGTATAGGCTAAACCATTTATGATGCCCAAACTTTATAACTTGTAACAATTACATCCTAAAAAGAATTTAATTCCACATGCACCCCTGTAAGGATCATATATAAGTGACTCTCCCACCATAACACCAAAACATGAATACGAGACTTTTAATTAAAATAGAACAAATTATAACCATTTTATTTCAATCAACGTTGGTTGTAATAAAATTTTCTCACTGTATTAGCGAATAATTCAAATCAATAAAGAATCTTTAAATTCAATACGACAATAAACACCTAAATAGATATTTATACACACTTTTAGCAAACTTAAAAAAGAAATAATTAGGTAGGGACGCACGAAAATACACACAATAATTCAATCTTATAATAACCCAATAATGTAATGCTTTAAAGACATCAAATAATTTTAAAGGACATAATTGAAAAAATAAAAGGAAAATAATACATTAAAAAATGATTGAAACTTTTTCATACATTTGTGATTTTATATCATCTCGAGTAAAGTGATTCAGACCATTTCAATTTATTCAAAAACACTTATATTTAAAATTTTATATAAAAACAGCAAATTAATTAATTTGATATCTACTCCAGGCATGGAGTTTTTAAACAAATCTATTAGTAATTAGTAGACGATTAAGCAACATTCATAAATACGTAATGACTTGTTCAGCCTTTGACTTAAACTAGATTTAATTGCTCAATCAAGCAACTATACTTTGTTAGGGATATTTGACTCAGTGACACACAAACTTCTAACTACTTTCTTAATTTTGCCTGCCAATTCTGAACTATGATCTTCCTTTCTATTTTCTAGTGTTCCGATTGATCATGTATATCAAGTCCTTGGACTTCATTCTCCTATCCATTATTTATTTATTTTTAATCCTTTCTATTTTCTAGTGTTCCGATTGATCATGTATATCAAGTCCTTGGACTTCATTCTCCTATCCATTATTTATTTATTTTTAATTTATCAAATTCTCATTTTTTGTGCATTACAAAGATCCCTTTCAAGCGATTATGCGGTAGGTATACATTTTGTTAAAACATTCTTGTTTTCATATGTTTAAAATATATTATCATTAAAGTGATACGATGATTTCTTTGCATTTTCCCGTCTTTAATCCAAAACTTCGAATATATGTTTAAGGCGTCAAATTCCTTTCCTATTCCCTTACCAATTTTTTATGTCATGTTTGGATGAATTCTTCTGGTATGATTCTGGTCATATTCAGTAACAGCTTTTTATGCGGTGTTTATAGTAGTGTCTGGTGATATATTGTTTATATTAGTGTTTAGAGTTTAAGGGAGCAGGTCATCAAACGTTGCTTCCTTTAATATTTGATAAAATCCAGTTAAATAACTTGACAGTTATCAAGATATATAACAGCTACTGAAATAATTAATTTTGCCGAACAAACAATATATATATAAGGCATATAAACGATGGAGGCAAACCATCCAATTGGCTAGCAATGGTTGGATTTTATCAATTTTGATTTTATGAATACTTATTAATATTTGTGTGATAAATATGACAATCTTGCATATATATAAAGAAGCATCACTCTTCGTTATTAAGTTCCCTTTGGATTTTAATTAAAGATTACACCACTTATTCCCAATTCTTGCATATATATAAAGAAGCATCACTCTTCGTTATTAAGTTCCCTTTGGATTTTAATTAAAGATTACACCACTTATTCCCAATTCCCATATCATGTCTTATTATCATTTTTTTTTTTTATTCTTCCTGCTTAGAAAATTCAGCAATAATTAGTAAGTTAATGGATGAATTCATCCCTATGCTTTTTTTACAAAAAAATCTTATGGCACCCTTAACTTTCAATTTGACCTATAGAACATTTCAATTTATAAAATTGTACCTATTAAATACTTCAATTAACCTATTGAACACTTCAAAATAAAATTAAATCCATTTAACACTTACTAGATAGTTGAAAATATAAAAATTATTATGTCAAAATTTTGTATTAACCACATATCAAATTAATATTTTACATATAAAAGCCAAAAACTTAATAAAATTTATTATTGTTAGCGTGACAAGGTATGAGATTATTAGAAAAAGGAAAACCGAGGGTGCCACAAAGTCGATTTTAAAGCTCAGGATGCAACAAAATTTTTTTTATTAAATTTCAAGACATAAATTATGTATTTAATCATAAGCAAATGAATAACTACTTGCTTGGTCTTTTCCTTTCCCCACAATTTTGTTAAATATGCTTACTACCTATATTTTTATATACTCTTTTCATCCCATTTTATTTATATGATACGACAAACACGCATATTAAAAATTTAATCAATAAAAAATTATTTTTTTCTTTTTATGAGTTAAAGATATTAATAAAAATCATTCATTTAATCAATAATTATAAAAGTTATAATGATGATAAAATAATCATCTCATTTAATCAATAATTCCTATAAAGTTATAAGATGAAAATATATATGATATATATATATATATGTATACTATAATATAGTATAGGGTATAGTAGTTAAAAAACACTTTTCAAAATTTTTTAAAAATATTAAAAAAAGGAATAATCGGATGATACGAGAGATTAATTAATTTTATCAATCATTTAACTATATCTTTCCCCTGATTCGTCAAAGACAATGAAAGCGCGGCAGGCAACAGATAAATCAAAAAACAGTTGCCCATTAAACAAAGTTTTAATAACTTTAATGACATCTCAAAAACTTCTGGCGTACGTTGTTAGCGACGCTACTGGTTCATACGGCCAGTATCGCTTAGGTCCCATCCGTGTAGTGTTGAGAAGGAGCGGTGCACGCTGGTATCGTTCGTGCCGGGCCTGAGTGGCTGCTGCTCGTTCGGATTGTGCGTTGTAAGTTTTGTCGGGCCTGCGCGGAGGAGGCTGCGCCTGCTTTCTGAACACGGTTCCGTGATTACGGGGGCGACATGCCCGCTGCGATTTCCGGCTGCATACTGGATGATGAGTGTGTACGTGACAGCCGGCGCATAGTTACAGCCGCTCGGCCTAAAAACCTTTTAAATATTTTAAAATATTAAAAAAAGGAATATCAGGATGATACGGAGAGATTATTATTTTATCAATCATTTACTAATTCTTTCTCTGATCTCAAGCAACAATGAAAGCGCAGGAGGCAACAAAATCAAAACATTCCCAATTAAACAATTTATACTTTAATGACATTAAAAACTTCAAAGAATTTTTATTATTATTTTGTATTTCTTTACAATATCTCTTTTCAACGGTCATTCATTTCGCTAACGGATGCACCTGTCAAAAATGTACACGCCTCCTTGTGTTTTATTCGTATACATATTTCCCTCTTTTTTAAATGCACATAAAAAGACACGCGCTTAAAATGTTCCCTTCCGACTTCAATGACTCTTCCCACCTAGAGACCAAGAAAACGACGGCGTTGAAGAACCCGAAGAAACGCTTCCTGGACCTCCGGTAGTTCCAAAGAACAAATCGGATAAGTAATTTCCCAAATCATCGGGGCCAAATCTGACAATTCCTGAATTACTTCCAAACTCCCTATTAACTGCCGCTCGAAACTTCTGGTAAAATCCCCGATACGCCGGCACTAGCTTACTCGCCAACGAAACTTTAATCTCGTCTCTCAATTTCGAGTCCGGCACCACCCATGAAATCTGCTTCTTGTACAACTCCTCGAAAGCGAAATTAAATCTCTTAAAATGCTCTGCTACTTGGTGAACCGTCATCGCTGCCTTCAAATTCTCCGGCAAGGAAGCGAAAACTTCGTTCCATCCGATCCGCTCGTAATTTGAGGCGTACTGTTTCACTTTAGCTTCGTGCTTCACTATCCAATCATCGCCGATGAGGAATTTCAAGCTCGATGTACGGACTTTTTCAACTACGTATTGAAGATTGTTAGCTAGAAACAGATAAGAAAGAGCCACGTCTTTGTAAAGCTCAGCTTTGCCGTCGAGTTTGCACAGCAAAACGAGGATAAGCCAAGCTAACCTTAGGGAAATCGCCGAGGAATTGCCATCCTGATCAGGCTCGGGACTGCCGAAGTAAAATTCTGGCAATGGTGACTGGTTCGTTAAAGGCCAATCGGCGACTATATCAGATAATATGCCGCTGTAGTCGGATATCTGGCAATGGTGACTGGTTCGTTAAAGGCCAATCGGCGACTATATCAGATAATATGCCGCTGTAGTCGGATAAGAAAGAAATATAGTTCATCACGTATCTTGTTAAAGGATGGACCCCACCTCCAGGTGGCGTTTTCGAATTGTCTTTCGAAATTGCCGATTCGAAATCGGTTAGCATTGTGCGGACAGCTTCGCCGAGCTTGATTAAAGAGTTAACTGCTTGTGATCGGACGGTGGATGTTGATTCATCGTTGAAAATCGATTCAATCTCAGGCCAGAGATCGGCTATTGCTTGGTAGAGGTCAAGAGTACGGAACATTTTCTCAGGAGATTTCTTGCATTTTGCTACATTTTCCGGGAATCCAAACAAGCCCAGAGCACCTTCTTTTGTAATTTCTGCAAAGCAAGATTCTCTCATCGAACCAGAAGCAGAGAAGACATGATCGCAGAGAATTCTCTCTCCATTG